AAGACACGTAAAGTTTCTAACTCTAAACCAGGTCTAAACTCTGTCTGGTCCTGGTTTGTGTTCTGAACCAGGGCACCTTTTATTAGCCAGGGGGCGCTGTGATCACCAGGGTTTGTTTGTCTTTTCGTTACTTTGTTAGCAAAATAACTGGAAAAAACGATGGGCAAACACTAGCTATAAGTATGTACACAATATTTTAATTAAAGTGAAAAAGTTATGTATGTGTATTAATATTATAATCATGATCTATTTCCCCTATTTCTATTAATATTTCAATCATTGGCAGAAATAGCATTAGCGGTGGTGGAAGTAGCAGCAGTAGCATTAGCGGTGGTGGAAGTAGCAGTAGTAGCATTAGCGGTGGTGGAAGTAGCAGTAGTAGCATTAGCGGTGGTGGAAGTAGCAGTAGTAGCATTAGCGGTGGTGGAAGTAGCAGTAGTAGCATTAGCGGTGGAGGAAGTAGCAGTAGTAGCATTAGCGGTGGTGGAAGTAGCAGTAGTAGCATTAGCGGTGGAGGAAGTAGCAGTAGTAGCATTAGCGGTGGCGGTAGTAGCAGTAGTAGCATTAGCGGTGGTGGAAGTAGCAGTAGTAGCATTAGCGGTGGCGGTAGTAGCAGTAGTAGCATTAGCGGTGGTGGAAGTAGCAGTAGTAGCATTAGCGGTGGTGGAAGTAGCAGTAGTAGCATTAGCGGTGGTGGAAGTAGCAGTAGTAGCATTAGCGGTGGTGGAAGTAGCAGTAGTAGCATTAGCGGTGGAGGAAGTAGCAGTAGTAGCATTAGCGGTGGTGGAAGTAGCAGTAGTAGCATTAGCGGTGGTGGAAGTAGCAGTAGTAGCATTAGCGGTGGTGGAAGTAGCAGTAGTAGCATTAGCGGTGGAGGAAGTAGCAGTAGTAGCATTAGCGGTGGTGGAAGTAGCAGTAGTAGCATTAGCGGTGGAGGAAGTAGCAGTAGTAGCATTAGCGGTGGCGGTAGTAGTAGCAGTAGTAGCATTAGCGGTGGTGGAAGTAGCAGTAGTAGCATTAGCGGTGGCGGTAGTAGCAGTAGTAGCATTAGCGGTGGTGGAAGTAGCAGTAGTAGCATTAGCGGTGGTGGAAGTAGCAGTAGTAGCATTAGCGGTGGTGGAAGTAGCAGTAGTAGCATTAGCGGTGGTGGAAGTAGCAGTAGTAGCATTAGCGGTGGTGGAAGTAGCAGTAGTAGCATTAGCGGTGGTGGAAGTAGCAGTAGTAGTGGTAATAATAGTAAATACAGTTACTGTGAGAGCTTCAGGAATTTCTCGTTTCAACAACAGCTGCTGCAGTGACACATGACGACCTCATTATAAAACGGTCAAGACAAGATGGCCCCCGGTCTTCTTTCATAATATTTGTCTGTTCATTAGAAGAACATGTGCTTTTTCTATTGTTGAAGATTCCAAGCTGTGAACACCTTGTGTGTGGTAAACAAACAGACAGCATCTCCACATAGATATAGTCCACAAAAATACAACATTTATCCAAATATCTCTGACTCACATTTACTGTTTTGGCCTAAAGCAATCTGTGGTTTATCAATCTCTGTGAACCTGGTGTTTATATTGTGAAAATGTCTTTGTAAATTCCAGATATGAGCCATGTGAGAACCTACTTAATTAGCCGAGGAAACCCTAGCTTGTCTTAGCCACCATGCTAGCCACACATTAGTTTGCATAACCCCATTACGGGAGCTTTAAGTCACATATAAAGGAAATTGGCTCCAGCTAGCTTATGTTCAGACCGACTTTTTCTGTTATTCTAAGTCGTTTTTTCCCCATGTCATTATATATACTAAAATAGCGCAGATTTAACTGTAACTCCCTTGTTTTTCCCACCATAGCCACCAAGCGCTAGGAACCAACGCAACATAGTGTTACGTTACTACCAATTAGCGTAAGCCTTTTTCCTGTTTTTCAAGTTATATTCTGTAGTTTTACCACTTGCTAAAAAGCAAGTGACGGTACATTCTGGGAGTTCTTGTAGTTTCATATTTCTGGGAGTCCTTATGTTAAGAAATACTGCTTTGCTTCTCCTCGCTGCTTCTCTCATCCTAGCGTTAGCCTAAATTCGAGCCCTGAGTAAAAGCAAACCCAATCCGATCCTAAATTCCCTTTTTGTCCCGCTCCACATTCTCCTCAGTGGCATTTTTATTTTTTTTTGGAACCTCGGAATGCTCAGGGCTTTTCCCTTGTCTCGCTTTCTCTGCCAGTCCAATTTTAACCAATCCTCTGCCCCAAATTCCGTGGCTTTTTCTCCTCTAAACACACACAAAAATGTTAAAGCTCGGAATGCTATTTGCTGGGATGGTCAGGATTTCCAGCTTCACCTTTCTGGGATTTTTTTGGGATGTGTCTTTTTGTCTTCTAGAACAATGAGTCTAGACGTATTTCAGTCGACGCTACGCTAAGCGGCTTTGCTAACGGGAAGGGTGAATATCTCAGAGCCGTGGCACCTGGGAAGCAGTTTGTGAAAGAAGGCCCTGGTTTGTTCCATTGTTCTGGGTCTGAGTCTGAAGAAATACAAAAATAAAAAAGTCTGGTATTTGTGAGAGAGAGAATTTGGGAAGAGTAGGTCGAACAGAAGGGAATAGTTACCATTTGAAACATTGAAATTGGTGATTCGTGGATTTATATTTATGTTTGAAATATCCCAAGAGCTTGGGGTGGATATGGTGTTGTACATCATTTGTTTAGAGAAGCAGACATGATACAGGACTAAGGCAGGACTGGGGACAAGACTGAGGACCGGACTAGGGTCTGGACTGGAATTGAGGACCAGGGTCTGGACTGGGGACTAAAGAACTGGAGACAGGACTATGGTTTGTACTCGGGACAAGACTGGAGACTGAGGACAAGGGTCTGGACTGGGAACTGGGGACTTGTACAAGGACTGAGGACAGAACTGAGGCATGACTAAGGACTGAGGACAAGACTGGGGACAAGACTGAGGACCGGTCTAGGGTCTGGACTGGACTGTTAAGAGAAGCAGACAGAAGAAGAAAACTTACATTTTGTTAAAAAATAGTCAATCTCTTTGTCAATGATTCAAATGTGTGTCTGTGGCTGAACTTCTGCTCCTGTTACTGTGTCTCAGATATGGCCAAACTCAGGCCTGTGGGCCAAATGCGGACCGCTTTGTCCTGTTATGTGGCCCTAACACAAAGTCAACATTGAGATACTTCCACAATGTCATCCAGCCAACTTTACCTCCACAAATACAGTCATGCTATACCTCGTTGTAAAGCTCAGAATCTTTGGAATCCAGTTGTTAACTTTATTTTTATAAACTGATATTTGTTTTTGATTGAGTCACAAAATCCCTTGTGTCTCTAATAAATCACACGTTATTCCCAGTTTAAAGCCCAGAACAGAATCCAGTCAAAACCAGTTTACAATCCGTGTTGTCGGCCCCTGAACAAATCTGACGAACTAAAGTGGTCCTCTTACTCAGAAGTTTGGACACCCCTGGTCTGTGTAGTTTTGCTGTAAATGTTTTGACAACTCAGAAAGAGTGTCTCTGTGACTCGAGCTCAAACCTGCAAATGGAGACTTTTCATGAGGACATTAAACCGACGTCTTTTTCAAAAATGGATGGATACATTTTAGGGTTCAATAGTTGTCGTTCATAATTTATTAGCAAAAGAAAAGTTTGTTTTTTTAAACCATTTTAGATTATTGTTTGTGCAGTAAAGGGATTTATGAAACATTATTGCACCAATGTTGGATTCCACACTGAAAAAACTGATGATTATGAAAAGGGCTGAGCCAAAAAGAGAAAAATCCCAAAAAATCTAAATTTTGGAAGATCACGATTCTCGAACATAAAAATGGACAGACACCAAACCTGCAGAATATGTCTCTCTCATGTTCGGAAATCCAACAGATGGCATTTGTCAAACCAGTCATTTTGTTTCACCTTTAATAAAAGTAGAAAAAAAATCTATAAATCAGAAATTGAGATCAGTCATTAAAGCCGGAAAATGTACGGAATCCAGTAGTTTGTTTTAAAACAAGATTTGCCAATGGGACAAAACCAAAATGACTTTTTCGGATCCTTCTAGGTCGTCCTGAGGTTTTTCTCTTTTTATATTCAATATTTATGTATATTATTATTTATCGACATTTCTGAACAGATTCATCCCGCTCCCAATGGACCAACAGGAAGCAGCCTCCACTGTGTTTGATAATACTGCATTTCATGTGTTTGCACGGTTTGATTCTCTGATCTGTTGTTGACGAATCGATGGTTTTTGTAAAGTCCTCTGAGATGGCCGTGGTGATTTAGGGCCACACGAATAAATTGAGTCAAATCTAGACAAGCAAATGGAAATACACTCGTCCCATTGGCAAATTTTGTCTCGTTTTCAGGTCGAGAAAATGTACAAAAATAAAAATAATTGTATAAAGTTCATGATTTATGTTTAAGGCCGAGAAGGTTTTTTTGAAAAGACAGAAGTGTGAAGACGCTAGAGGTGACGTGTAGCACGAGCTTCTTTACACTTTTGTCCAATTCACTGCAAAAAGTGAGGAAGTCAAAAATTGCTCAGATTTGGCAAAACACATCTAACTCTGAGCACAATTTGAGTGAGCCTTAAAACAAGATTCACCAATGGGACAGAACAAAAAGGATCTTGTTTTAAAAGATACAAGAAATGTCTCCATTGGAATGAGAAAATACAGACTAAATGGCTTTGTCCCATTGGAGAATCTTGTTTCAACACAGTCAGAATGTGCTCAGATTAAGATAAAAACCACTAGATTTAAGCAATAATTACCTCATAGTTGATCCGTTTTTGCAATGTTAAAAGAACTATGATTGGAAAAAAGAAAAATAATCCAAATTCAAGCCCATTTTGACTCGTTTTGGTCGTTCTCTGCAGTGTGTTGCGTCCCTAGTTCCAATATAATACTTAATATCTCTGTAGCAACTGTACATGGTCCGTCAGAACACGCCTCCGTCTGCGTCTCTGGGTCTGCAACACAGGAATTTCTCTAGAAGCGGTCGTCCCTGAGCTGTGTGGGGGACCTGAACGGCTTGAGCCCGAGAGTCTTCCTCGGCAGCGCCCTCTCTCTGGCTCCGTCGGCGCCGCGGCTCGCCCACCCCAGGTCTATGAGCGGGGAGTCGGCCACAGGGTCCACGGGCGCCGTGCGGAAGTGATGCGTTAGCGTTGGCGAGCCGTTAGCCGAGCACGGCGCCGACCGCGAAGATGTGAAGGGGAACGGCGCGCAGAACGGGTCGAAGGCCGAGGGGCGCGCTCCGGCCGGGTCCGCCTTCAGGGAGAACGGGTCGCAGTCCGCCGAGGGGAAGGGGTCGCAGCTGCTGAAGGGGTTGGTGGGGGAGGGGCGGTGGGGGGAGGAGGGGGAGGGGGCGGAGATGAAGCTCCAGGGGTCGATGCGCTGGCGGACGGGGGAAGGGCGCGGCCGTGGGATGACGGACACCTCCAGGCGCCGGGACTTGGGGCTCCACAGTCCGGGGTGCGGGTGCAGTGCGAAGGCGGGCAGAGGTTTGTCCTCAGGGTCCTGGACGTCCTGGCAGAGCGGCAGGTCCAACACTGCAAGGAAAACACAAGATCATTTTAACTACTGTTTATTTAGATTTTATTTAACACCTCTCATATTCAATCAAATCAAATCATATTCAAAAATTGCTTTATTCTTCCTTGTAGGAGAAATTCAGGAGTCCAGTAGCAGCAGAAATAAAAAATAAAATTGATCATTCTAAAAAGCGAACAATCGTAATAACAAGCAACAGTCCTTCAGGCCACAGCAGCTGAGGTGGAGTAGCTTCTGGGTGGAGCAGGACCCAGCAGTAAGTAATGTTTATTTATATAGCGCATTTTACAGACCAAGGTCATCCAAAGCGCTTCACAATGCTCAGAGTTCAGATTTTGTTCCAATCATTCCACACACGGCGATGACGGAAGAGAGTCGCCGAACACACTGGACCCCAATCAACACCATTCATTCACTCATTTACATTCATGCCTATTGTGCATGGTTTTAGTGGTAGGGGAAACCGGAGCACCCGGAGGAAACCTACGCAGACACGGGGAGAACATGCAAACTCCACTCAGAAAGGGCCTGTTCCGACTGGGATTCGAACCCAGGACCTTCTTGCTGAGAAGCGAGAGTGCTATCCACACCCAGCACAGCCCAGCAGAGGTGGAGTAGCCTCTGGGTAGGACAGGTACCAGAGGTCACAAGGTGGTGGCCACTTTTCTCTGCTCTTGTCCAAAGTAAATGCTTTTTTAGCATTTTTCAAAAAGTCAGCATTCCTCCAGTGGATTTTCGCCTGATCCACTTGGTTCGGACCATGAATAAGCCTCTGCTCTGGTCTGGACCAGTGTTACCCAATGAACACTGAACAGCAGCAACATCTCAGGCAGAGAAAATCAATACAAATAAAAAAAACAACAACAGTTTCAGAGACACTTAGGACTTGCTGCCGTTTCCCAGTGCATTCAAAAGCTATACATATATTATATATTTATTCAAACACAGAGACAGCGGTACAGTTCATGTTCACGGTTCTCTTTCGGTCCTAGAACAATCCCTGACTAGTGGTCACAAACACACAGGTATTGTACTTTGTGGCCCCCTGGTGGAACTTTAGTATCAGTGCAGCCCCCACTGAGAGTCTGGGCTAATATGGAATATATTATTTTATGGCTAATATTATCAAGAAAACAACACCACAACATTTATATATAAGAAACTGTCTTTCACCTGAAGGTTTGGCCAACAATGCATGTATTGTTCTTTGATTCTTTGCTTTTCTTTTATCTTTTGGTTCCAAAGCCTAACGCTGAAGGACAGAAACAAGTTACAGAGTATTGTGAGAACTTGTGAATCACTGGAGGAAAACTCAGAAACCTTCATTCTTTGTGGGAGGAACAGGTGCTGAATAAAGCAAAGTGTATTCTGGCTCAGCCCAAACATCCTCTGATCGCTGACTTTGGGGTGTCATTTTTATGCTCCAGTGCGGAAACCAAACCGTTTTTCAAATTCTTTTGTGCTCTCTGCCATAAAACTGTTGAACTCTGGTCGTGGTGTTTGACTTTGGGAATTCTTGTGTTGTTCATTGTCATTTTTACCTTATATTGTGTAACCTGCTGCTGTGTGAACTGTGAGGCTCATTGTGCGTTTGTGTAGTGTGTGTGTGTTCTGCTTTTAGATTATGCTGCAAATTTGGGATCAATACAAATGTCTAAATCTGAATCTTTTTTACATATATTATTTTTTTTATAAATTCGTGACATCACATTTGGCCCATACCTCCCTCTTTTGTTCCATTCCTAAATACTTTCCAAAGGTTTCCGGAACAACAGCCTCTCATCACTCACCTCTCTTCACTTTGCGTCGCAGAACTTTAATTGCCAATTTACAAATAGCTTTTTAACGGCACCGCTGTGGCCTCGCTCTCCAAGTGAGAGATGACGTCCATTCTTCAGATCTGTGCCGCGCTTCCACCGACAGACGGCGGGACACAAACCACAGCGTAAAGAATGAGACGCCAGCACGAAATATTCCAGCAATTAGTCCAAATTAGGATTAGCGGCGCCGGCGAGCGGAGAAGCCAAAATCACTGCTGACAACAACATCCGGCCGAGGATACATCAGACTGAGTCAACATTGGATAATCTGAGTGTTACCGACTGCAAAGGGTTTCAGGGAGAGAATCAAAAATCATAAATATATAAAAGTAGTAATGTAATGGCTGCTCACCGGTCTCTCCGAACTAGCTTCACTTTAGCTAGATTCAAAACACTGCAGATCGAGTCCTAACTAGAACCAGGCAGTACCATCACATTAGTCCTGGTCTCCGATCTCTCCTTGGCCTCGCACCCAAGTACATCTGTGACATGTTAGTACCATATAAACCCACTCTGAGGAGCACAGGGACTGGCCTCCTGCTGGGACTCTGAGGAGCACAGGGACTGGCCATTTCATGTTCGAAAACAAAGTTGCACACTTGTGGGGGTTAGAAATACATTCAAGAATACATTTACACACACATTTACCGGTCTGTTGCGCTTCTCTGGGTCTGTGCGGATCGAACTAGGACACTATTTCCTGGTGGGTGAAATGGGAATTATGCCCTTGTGATGTGCGTAATTAAATGTATATGTTTTCTACCAAAATAATTTGCTCAATGGGAGGGGCCAGGAGCCGTGTTTGGCACAGTCTGCCGCTGGTTACAGAGGAGGTAACTTGAAACTTAAAGCTGCACTAACTGACTTTGGGATTTTGAAGCCGCGGACTCGCTGGCCTTTCTCTTTCTGCTCCCCTCCCCGCACCCACGAAGCTATCGCCCCCCCACACACACTCACTGTTGTTGACGGAGCTAGCGTCTCCTAGTATGTATAATACATGGATATGGATTTGCACGTGGATGGCGTGACCATAGAACGATAGAACCGGGAAGCGCGGAGGAACGGGACTTTCTTTTGGATGGATGTTTCGCTGTGTAAGCAGTAACCGGTGATGAAGACGAGGAAGTTTCAGGTTAGCTCCGCCGCTTGTTGTGCTAACTCAGCCGTATATGCTAACGGACCTGTAGATGTCTCACAAAAGTGGGGGCTAGTGGTCCGCTGTGATTGGTCACAATCAGAGACCAGAAACACATTCTCTTCCTTGTTTCATCAAAACTCGATCTAAAATATAATGTCACGCCAGCACAAACCTGCGCTACTTTTTCTTCAAAAGGACGTATATCCCAATGCACTAAATGGACATGGATAGCATTTTTGTAATGAATACAAAAATAAAGTCAGTTAGTGCAGCTTTAAAGCTGCACTATGTGTCAGTGTGAACTTGTTTTGTTTGCTGATTTCATTGTAAATACGCTCTGCACTGCCTTCACCATTTTTTTGCACTCTGGGAGTATAGAAAATAAACCCACCTAAGCACTGGACTCCGAGCTCGCCTGTTTTATTTTAGGCAACCCACGACAGCCAGAGAGGGTGTGTGTGATCTCGAGGCGCTTGCTGCTGTTTGCTGTACGTACTCGAACGGGATTCCAAATCCTCTGTGGCCCCTTGACCACAACGCGGCGAGCATGTAGCCGAACGTGGTCATAATGTACCCAGGACGGCGTTAGTATCATATGAACCCACTCTGCGGTTGTGGCAAGTGTGTTTCTTTGTGTGACACAAAATAAATAAATACATATTGCGTTACTGCTAGAAACAGAGCTGGACTGTGGAGCCTTAAAGGAGTGTCCATGTCCTCCCTGTGTCTCTAAATGAAAGCTGTGGTACCACCTGTGGTGCATTAATTATGCATAATGATGTCGGTTGTGCCCAAAAGTAAAATGTGGTGAACAAATCAAACAGAACATTGTTTGATTTTTTTCTTTTTTTTTTTGAATTTTAAGGAGAGAGCCCTGTGAGTCATTATTTGACTTGAGTGGATTTATCTGAGCTGATCTAAACTTAAGCATTGAAAAGAAGCAAGTATAAAACCCACGAGTACCAAACACCATCTCCTGGTACTCATCTGAGAACCTCACTGAAAAAATGATGTGCACCTCCCACGTGAGGTCCTGGGTGGGGTGGTGGTGCCCTGGAGGAACGGAAGGACTCCACAGAGGTGATGGGGGAGTCCAGCCATCACGGAGGGTGGGGGCGGGGGACAGTGCTCTTCCTGAAGTCCACAATCATCTCCACTGTCTTCTGGGCGTTCAGCTCCAGGTTTGATACCTGACTGCACCAGGACACCAGCCGGTCCACCTCCGCTCGCCTGTTAGGCGACTCATCGTTGTTGGAGATGAGTCCAATGAGGGTGGTGTCGTCGCGAACTTGATCAGCTTCACGGAGTCGTGGCTGGAGGTGCAGGGGTTGGGGGTGTACAGGGAGAAGAGCAGGGGAGAAAGAACTCAGCCCTGTGGGGCTCCTGTATTTTATAATCCGAGAGTCCTGAGAACATTCTTCCCCAGACGCACTCGCTGCTTCCTGTCCGTCAGGAAGTCAGTGAGTCCACCGTGCAGGTGGAATCGGGCACGTTGAGCTGGGAGAGCTTGTCCTGGAGCAGGGATGGCCCCAGGATTGTGTTGTAAGGCAGAGCTGAAGTCCACGAACAGGACCCTGGCGTAGGTCCCTCGGGGAGTCCAGGGGGCTGTAGGATGTGGTGGTGGGCCAGGATTAATGGCGTCGTCTACAGATTCTGTTGGCTCTGTAGGCGAACGGCAGGGGGTCCAGGTGGGGGGAGGTGAGGGACTTGAGATGGGAGAGAACCAGGCGTTCAAATGACTTTCATTCACGACAGACGTAAGTGCTACAGGTCTGTAGTCATTGAGTCCGGTGATCCTGGGCTTCTTCGGGACGGGGACAATGATGGAGGATTTTGAAGCAGGCCGGGACATGGCAGGACTGCAGAGAGGTGTTGAAAATGTCCGTGAACACAGGAGTAAGCTCACTGGCGCAGGGTCTCAGAGTGGCCGGAGACACGTGGTCCGGGCCAGGAGCTTTGCGGGGGTGCAGCCTCAGGAACGAGTGGTTGAATCGCTTTAGCGGCTAGTTTAGGCTGGGGGCAGGCTGAGGGGTGGGTCGTTAGAGTCGTGGGGGTGGGGGATAGGGTGAGGTGTCAGGGGGCAGCATTCAAAAGCGTCTGAAAAATAGGTTCAGATCTCCTACTAGCTTGATCATGCACAGGGGGGGGGCTTTGGGTGTGTAGTGGGTGATCTCCCACCGGTAGGCCCCTCCCTGACAGAAGCAGTATCGGTTACCAAACTGCTCCTGGTTTCTCTGTGCCGGGTACTTGGCTGCTTTCAGTTCTGTTCCTGAACTGATATTTAGCTGCTTTGTAGGGGTCGGGGCGCCCACGCCCTGTAAAGCAGACTCCTTTGCTTGCCTGAGCGGCCGGAGTTTAGCTGTGAAAGGGTTTGTCGTTGTTATAGATGTGACCCTGGTCCTTGTTGGAATGATGCTATCCTCGCAGAAGTGGATGTATGACGTCACAGTGTCCGTATATTCATCCAAACTGTCTGTGGCAGCTCTGATAAGGTCCCAGTCTGTAGATTCCATGCAATGCGCGCAGCTCTTCCACAGCTTCATCAGACCACACTTTGGAGCTCCTCACTGCAGGTTTCGAGAGCTTTAGTCTCTGTCTGTAAGCAGAACCAGATGTATCATGGAGTGATCTGAGAAGCCGAGGGCTGGCTTGGGAACAGCGCGAAAAGCCCCGCGCACGGTGGTGTAACAGTGATCCAGAGTGTTCTCCTCTCTGGTCGGGCATTTGATAAACGTCTGTATTTGGGTAATTCCTGGCTCAAGTTTCCCTTATTAAAATCCCCCAGGATAATAATCAGAGAGTCCGGGTATAAACGTTCCACACACATCACTTTTAAACTTTAGCGGAGACCTGCAAGACGCGGCTCGTCACTTGCTGCTCTGACCATGTGGACGAGCCACCTTTTGCTTAAAAATGCTCGCAGCACAGAAGAATGGGAAGATTAAAACAGAAGTTCTCTGTGGAAGTTCTCTGTGGTCAGCCGAAGCGGTTGCGGATTTTGGCGCCGCTGTCTCAGCTCTGATCCTGTAGAACGTAGAGCTGCACTTATGAGAAGTACTCGAAATGGCTGTTATTTCAAAGAGCGTGGACTATTTTAAACTACGCGGTTAACCGGTTTCAACCGGTTAATGAGGCTCGGTGGTCGGTCATGAAAATTCATAGTTTTTTACATCCCTAATCAGTATTAGTTGTTACTCATATCATCATCAATATCACTATATTCATCATCACCATATTATTATTATTATTATTTGTTTAATTGTTTTGCTTAATTATATTTATGTGTTTTATGTAATTTTAGATCCTTATAGAGTTAATAATTGATATACTTAATTAGTTTTATAATTTATACATGTAGGAGGAATAAAATAACCTCTTTGTATGCTACCCTACCCTCCTCCGCTCTGATAAGACCGCCGCACTCTTATAAAGAAGACTGCGTGGGAGAACATCACCTCTATGCTCTCTCGGCCCTCCAGGGGAAAATGGAGAGCCGTGAGGCCTGACCCTCTGTATTCAACTGCAAGATCCAGTCCTCTACAGCCGGTGTCCTCTAGCCCACACCTGTTCTCTAGCCTCTACAGCCCTGTTCCACTAGTCTCTCAGCCTGCGTCGTCTCTAGTCTCTACAGGCCTGCGTCCTCATAGTCTCTACAGCCTGCGTCCTCTAGTCTCACAGCCGGTGTCCTCTCAGCCCCTGTGTCCACTATCCTCTACAGTCTGAGCTGTGGGTTTTTCAGCTTGTTTTATGTAATTTTTTTCTTATTTCCAAACGACTTTTGTTGTTTAGATGAAATACGTTTGTGATGCTGTATTTTAAGAAAACATGTCTCAAAAATGTTTAAGAAATAAATAAATCAGACTTGAAATGTTTGTATTTTAAAACTAGAATCGAGTTATTTAGGGGTAGGATTATTTTATTATTTTCAGAAATCTTGTCAAGTCATATTGTCTTTGTTTTTATTAATTTAAGCAGATTTTTTAATAATTTTACTTAGTTTTTTTTTTTTCAAATGTTTTATCCCAGTGTTTGGAGATAACAGAGAAATGTAGAGAACGTTTTTTTAGTTCTAGCACTTTGAAAACGTCATTTTTCACAGTATCATTCTTTCACTCGTACATGCAGGTCATAAACTGCTATAGCGTCACAGCGCCACCATTAGGCCTGGCAGAGAGAGGAGAGAGAGAGACAGAGAGAGAGAGAGAGAGGAGAGGGGTGACACTGACAGAGAGAGAGACAAAGGAGAGACAGAGAGTGAGAGGAGAGGAGAGAGAGAGACAGAGAGTGAGAGGAGAGGAGAGAGAGAGACAGAGAGAGAGAGGAGAGGAGAGAGAGAGACAGAGAGGAGAGGAGAGGAGAGAGAGAGACAGAGAGAGAGAGAGAATATGCAGCTGTGCAAACATTATACAAACATAACTTAAAGAAGCTATACCCGATTTTTTTTCTAAGTAGTTCATAAAAATGCTTTTTACTACATACAAGTTGTATCATAATACATAATTTAATTGAAAACTTGAGGTCATTGATTCCACTGTAAGAATTACAAGCAGTGAAAAGTGCTGAGTAGAGTCTTAGCCTCTAGTCTCTACAGCGCTGCTAAACACCAGGGCTTCAACTTCAAAATTCAAATATAATTCTAAAATAAAAAATATATACATATTTGAACAAATATTAGACAGTCCTTATAATTCGAAATGTATTTAATGACTGCAAATAAAATAGTTAGCTCCCAAAGGTTTCTCCGGGACGTGCTAGGCAGGTAACAGCTAAGCTAGCTAGTTGTTTCATGGTAACTTCCGGGTTTTTCGCGATCGCTTTTTGTCACTTTAAAACAGTATTTTTGTCATGAAAACGTTAACAGCAAATTCTGAAATCGTCCGTGCATGTGTGTTAAGGATGTATCTGTATACTGTATTGTCCGATTGACGTTTAATGGTGTTGATTGATTGATATGTAGTTGTTCATTGAGCGTGGCTAGCTCCGCTAGCTTCTCTACACAGACAAGTGTGTAGTGACAGGCGCTGATAGCTTGTTGTACTTGCAGAGTAATGGCAGTATTTTACACACCTGAATTACAAACAGAGATTGCATTGGGGCTTCGGTCATTATTGGTTTGAGAGTTCTGTTATCAAGAAAAAATGATCGGAAGAATTGCATTCAAGTCAATGGAGTGCTGCTGCTGTGAGGAGCTGTATAACAAATTATAATTAGATATTAGAATATATTCTAATGTTTTAAATTGATACATTCGGACGCAAAACTAGCGGTATTCTTTTACTTATATATTGTGTTAGCAGTGCATTGCTTTAGTACCATTTCATCAGTGATTGTTGCACGGCTTACAAGAAGTTGTGCTAATGCTAATGTTAGCATACGTATCAGATCGCAAATAAAACTAGGTGGCTCTGTGTTATGAGAGCGTAGGGGAAATGAGAAGCCTGTGAGCGAGTTGGGGGGGCGGTGCTAAACATTCAAACATTGCAGAAACGGGTATAGCGCCTTTAAGTATTTGGAATCAGGGAGGACCACAACGAGACCGCGCTCCAACTCGTCATTTCCAGGAGCAACAGCCGTGTCTTTGGTTTTATTCTTGTACAATAAAGGTTTTGAATGTTGTTTAATGACAAATACTTTTAAGTTGATATCGCTGGTCTCTCTCTCTGGTCTCTCTCTCAGGTGTCTCTCTCAGGTGTCTCTCTCTCGTCTCTTGCTCCTTTCTCTCTCTCTCTTCTCTCACTCCTTTCTCTCTCTCTCTTCTCTCACTCCTTTCTCTCGCTCTCTCTGGTCTCCTCCTCTCTCTCTTGTCTCCTCCTGATCCCTCTTCTCTCTGGTCTCTCTCTCTATGTTCATTCTCTCTAAGGTCTCTCTCCGCTCTCTCTCTGGTCTCTCCGCTCTCTCTGGTCTCCCTTCTCTCTCTGATCTCTCCACTCTCTCTGGTCTCTCCGGTCTCTCTCTGGTCTCTCTCCGGTCTCTCCGGTCTCTCTCTGGTCTCTCCGATCTCTCTCTCTGATCTCTCCGCTCTCTCTCTGGTCTCTCTCCGCTCTCTCTCCGGTCTCTCTCCGCTCTCTCTCTGGTCTCTCCGCTCTCTCTCTGATCTCTCCGCTCTCTCTGGTCTCTCTCCGCTCTCTCTCTGTGGTCTCTCCGCTCTCTCTCTGGTCTCTCCGCTCTCTCTCTGGTCTCTCTCTCCGCTCTCTCTCTGTGGTCTCTCTGCTCTCTCTGGTCTCTCTCCGCTCTCTCTCTCTGGTCTCTCCGGTCTCTCTCTAGTCTCTCCGGTCTCTCTCTGGTCTCCCTTCTCTCTCTGATCTCTCCGCTCTCTCTGGTCTCTCCGGTCTCTCTCTGGTCTCTCCGGTCTCTCTCTGGTCTCTCCGATCTCTCTCTCTGATCTCTACGCTCTCTCTCTGGTCTCTCTCCGCTCTCTCTCTGTGGTCTCTCCGCTCTCTCTCTGTGTTCTCTCCGCTCTCTCTTTGGTCTCTCCGCTCTCTCTGGTCTCTCTCCGCTCTCTCTCTGTGGTCTCTCCGGTCTCTCTCTGGTCTCTCTCCGGTCTCTCCGGTCTCTCTCTGGTCTCTCCGATCTCTCTCTCTGATCTCTCCGCTCTCTCTCTGGTCTCTCTCCGCTCTCTCTCCGGTCTCTCTCTGGTCTCTCCGCTCTCTCTCTGGTCTCTCCGCTCTCTCTCTGATCTCTCCGCTCTCTCTGGTCTCTCTCCGCTCTCTCTCTGTGGTCTCTCCGCTCTCTCTCTGGTCTCTCTCCGCTCTCTCTCTCTGGTCTCTCCGGTCTCTCTCTAGTCTCTCCGGTCTCTCTCTGGTCTCCCTTCTCTCTCTGATCTCTCCGCTCTCTCTGGTCTCTCCGGTCTCTCTCTGGTCTCTCCGGTCTCTCTCTGGTCTCTCCGATCTCTCTCTCTGATCTCTCTCTGTGGTCTCTCCGCTCTCTCTCTGTGTTCTCTCCGCTCTCTCTCTGGTCTCTCCGCTCTCTCTGGTCTCTCTCCGCTCTCTCTCTGTGGTCTCTCCGCTCTCTCTCTGGTCTCTCCGCTCTCTCTCCGCTCTCTCTCTGTGGTCTCTCCGCTCTCTCTCCGCTCTCTCTCTCCGCTCTCTCTCTGGTCTCTCTCTAGTCTCTCCGGTCTCTCTCTGGTCTCCTTTCTCTCTCTGATCTCTCCGCTCTCTCCGGTCTCTCTCTGGTCTCTCCGGTCTCTCTCTGGTCTCTCCGATCTCTCTCTCTGATCTCTACGCTCTCTCTCTGGTCTCTCTCCGCTCTCTCTCTGGTCTCTCCGCTCTCTCTCTGGTCTCTCTCTCCGCTCTCTCTCTGTGGTCTCTCCGCTCTCTCTCTGTGTTCTCTCCGCTCTCTCTCTGGTCTCTCCGCTCTCTCTGGTCTCTCTCCGCTCTCTTTCTGTGGTCTCTCTCCGCTCTCTCTCTGTGGTCTCTCCGCTCTCTCTGGTCTCTCTCCGCTCTCTTTCTGTGGTCTCTCTCCGCTCTCTCTCTGTGGCCTCTCCGCTCTCTCTGGTCTCTCTCCGCCTCTCTCTCTCCGCTCTCTCTCTGGTCTCTCTCCGCTCTCTCTCTGTGGCCTCTCCGCTCTCTCTGGTCTCTCTCCGCTCTCTCTCTGGTCTCTCCGGTCTCTCTCTAGTCTCTCCGGTCTCTCTCTGGTCTCCCTTCTCTCTCTGATCTCTCCGCTCTCTCCGGTCTCTCTCTGGTCTTTCCGGTCTCTCTCTGATCTCTCCGCTCTCTCTCTGGTCTCTCTCCGCTCTCTCTCTGGTCTCTCCGCTCTCTCTCTGGTCTCTCTCTGATCTCTCCGCTCTCTCTGGTCTCTCTCTCCGCTCTCTCTCTGTGGTCTCTCCGCTCTCTCTCTGGTCTCTCCACTCTCTCTGGTCTCTCTCCGCTCTCTCTCTGTGGTCTCTCCGCTCTCTCTCTGGTCTCTCCGCTCTCTCTGGTCTCTCTCTCCGCTCTCTCTCTGTGGTCTCTCTCCGCTCTCTCTCCGGTCTCTCCGCTCTCTCTCCGCTCTCTCTCTGTGGTCTCTCCGCTCTCTCTGGTCTCTCTCCGCTCTCTCTCTGTGGTCTCTCCGCTGTCTCTCTGATCTCTCCGCTCTCTCTCTGTGGTCTCTCCGCTCTCTCTCTGATCTCTCCGCTCTCTCTCTGTGGTCTCTCCGCTCTCTCTCTCTGGTCTCTCCGCTCTCTCTGTGGTCTCTCCGCTCTCTCTCTGTGGTCTCTCCGCTCTCTCTGTGGTCTCTTTGCTCTCTCTCCGGTCTCTCTCTGGTCTCTCCGCTCTCTCTCTGGTCTCTCTCTCCGCTCTCTCTCTGTGGTCTCTCCGCTGTCTCTCTCTCTGGTCTCTCCGCTCTCTCTGTGGTCTCTCCGCTCTCTCTGTGGTCTCTCCGCTCTCTCTGTGGTCTCTCCGCTCTCTCTCTGTGGTCTCTTTGCTCTCTCTCCGGTCTCTCCGCTCTCTCTCTGTGGTCTCTTTGCTCTCTCTCCGCTCTATATCTGGTCTCTCCGCTCTCTCTCTGGTCTCTCCGCTCTCTCTCCAACTCATTCTTTCTTGATTGTCTCTAAAACCAGCCCAGACTGAAGTCCTCTTAGCGGCCTCACACCTGAACACCTCGCTGCAGCGTCGCACTTACCTCAGACGGAGAAACTGATTGGACGACGTCTGAGAGCTTTCACTTGAGTCGAGTCTTTTGCACCTTTTCATTCTGTTCGTGTGGAATTAATTTATTCTCCAGTGATTTTTTGAGAAGCAATCAACATTTTTATTCTGTTACGGCCTAAAACTGAAAGTATAACGGGAGACAAACCACGTTTGTGTGACATCACACCGACCTCCTCCAGATGCACCTCCTCCTGGTCTCTCTCTGTCTCCTCCTCTCTCTCTTTTCTTCTCCTGATTCTACCTCTCTCTCTAGTCTCTATGTCTCCCTCTCTGTCTCCTCTCCTGGTCCCTCCTCTCTCCTCCACCTGGTCCCTCCTGTCTCCTCTCCTCCTTCTGGTCCCTCCTGGTCCCTCCTCTCTCCTCCACCTGGTCCCTCCGGTCTCCTCTCCTCCTTCTGGTCCCTCCTGGACCCTCCTCTCTCCTCCTCCTGGTCCCTCCTCTCTCCTCCTGGACCCTCCTCTCTCCTCCTGGACCCTCCTCTCTCTTCCCCCTGGTCTCTCGCTGTCTCCTCCTCTCTCTCTTGTCTTCTCCTAATCCCACCTCTATCACTGGTCTCTATATCTCCCTCTGTGTCCTCTCCTGGTCCCTCTTGCCTCTCTCCTCCTTTTGGTTCCTCCTCCCTCTGCTCCCTCCTCTCCCCTCCTCCTGGTCTCTCCTCCCTCCTCTCTCCTGGTCCCTCCTCTCTCCTCCTCCTGCGACCCTGGGTTTAGTTGTAACTTCAGGCCAATACCAGACATGTCCAAACTGAGGCCTGGGGACCTAATGTGGCCCGCTGTGTGAGTTTCTGAGGCCCGGTGCTTTGCTAACCCAACATTAGCCTTTGCATCATAAACATCTGTGAAAGTTTGACCATTTGAACACATTCATGAAAACATTTCTTTATTCTCCTTCCATCGTCATGGTCTTCTTCCTCCTTTAAGAACCTGCTGAGAGATTCTAAACCATTCCGTAACTTAAACTCTTTTGAATCCATGTTTTCTTAATCAGTTAAAAAACCAGATTGGAATTTTGTAATTGAACCTAAAAACTAAAATTCCTCTTGTACCAAAAAAGCAGCTGATGGGTGTCGGTTTGTCCTCTAGAAATGTTGCTAAAACTGCTGAAATGTAGCGATAATTGGTAAAAGTTCATGAAAGTTGAAGCCGTTTGCAAACACACGCTGAAACTGGCTGTGAATATTTCAACTCCCATGAAAAGCAGTGACTTTATTGTGTATGGACCACTGCAAACCAAGCGGATTAGCCAACTGTATACAGAGACGCTAACATCCACTAGTGTTAGCTTCTCTGATATCTTTGTTTTGGTCAGTCCTGTGTCTATGGACCTCTGTGTCTGAAATCATAATCCTAATAATTCTTTTTAAAATTTAATAATTCTATTTTGCATTTTGACAGTTTTACTTCTAATGCGGCACGATCCTACACATAAGAAAATGTTAGTTGCTTGTGTGCGCCGCAGTTAGTTCAGAGGACTCTCTCTTTCTGGTCTCTCTCGCTCTCTTGTTTCTCTCAGATCCCCCTCTTGTTTCTGGTTTCTCTCTGCTCTCTCTTGCCTCTCTCTGGTCTCTCTTGCCTCTCTCTCTGATCACTCTCTGGTCTCTCTCTGGGCTCTCTCTCTTGCCTCTCTCGCCTCTCTCTCTCTCTCTGCTCTGCTCTCTCTCTGGTCTCTGTCTCGCCTCTCTCTGGTCTATCTCTCTTGCCTCTCTCTCTGCTCTCTCTTGCCTCTCTCTGGTCTCTCTCTTGCCTCTCTCTCTGATCGCTCTCTGGTCTCTCTCTGATCGCTCTCTGGTCTCTCTCTGGGCTCTCTCTCTTGCCTCTCTCGCCTCTCTCTCTCTCTGCTCTGCTCTCTCTCTGGTCTCTGTCTTGCCTCTCTCTGGTCTATCTCTCTTGCCTCTCTCTCTCTCTCTGATCTCTATCTTGCCTCTCTCTGCTCTCGCTCTGGTCTCTCTCTGCTCTCTCTCTGGTCTCTCTCTTGCCTCTCTCTCCTCTTACTCTGCTCTCTCTCGTCTCTCTGATCGCTCTCTGGTCTATCTCTCTGATCGCTCTCTGGTCTATCTCTCTGATCACTCTCTGGTCTCTCTCTTGCCTCTCTCTCTGGTCTCTCTCTTGCCTCTCTCTCTCTTGCCTCTCTCTCTCGCCTCTCTCCAGGGACCACTGTCAGCATGAACACAGTCAGTAAAATCCCCAAATCTATGCGACAGAAGAAAGCAGGACACAAAAAGACCACAGCAGACGGTTTGTAAGAAGTATATAACCAAGTGTATTCCCTCTGTTAATGTACACATATTTAGAGTCATTTCACTGGAACACTTTACAATAACATTTAGAAAGAACAGGAAGATACCGGGAGGAGAACGTTCTGGAATGGAGCAAAGAAAAACGGACAAAATAGTTGCATGTGGAATGGCAACAGTCAAGGGAGAAGTCAAAACTAAAGCATGAGAAATCAAATAAAAGATCGACAGATGGGAGGTAAGGAGGGTATCTCTGCTCTGTACGGTTCAAACCCAAATCGCAAATTTCGCAAACAAAATTCCACAGATATGTCCCAGTCATTTTTTCCTCCTGGTCGGGAATGAGCGCTGGGTCTTGGGGAAACACATTTCTCTTAGTTAATGGGATGAGAGTCAAATATTTAGACATTTCACATACTTTTTTCGGGATTTTTTTCTTCTTTTCATGGTACTTTTTTAATAGAGTTGAGAAAATTCGCAATACTAGCTAGAGTTCGCTCTCCCGCTTTGCCCGACGGCTTTGTTTCAGTCCATTCTCGGGCAACTCTTTCCGTCGAACGAAACTCCGAAGCGAAGGACGTTTTTGTTTGACGATTTCTCCGGCAAAACGTCCTCACGAGTTTAAAAAAAAAACAAGCGTAGACCGACACGGGAACTCTTTACGCGGTGCTTTATCTGCAAAAGTCTATGACACAGCTTTTGAGGGTTCGGGGAATTACGTTTGGGAGTAAGTTGTCAATGTCCTGGAAAGGAAAAATCGGGAATCCTCGTCTTCTCGGCTTCCGTCGGATTCCACGCTTCAGTTTTATAGGTCCATAGATTTCTGCAACGTCTATACATATATTTATACTTATAGAGAACAAAGTCTGCTGGAGGTTGTTGGCGTGGTTAGTACTTTGAAGACAGTCCGCTTGGGAGTTCCAGACTTTCCGGGTCAATTTTTTTTCCCCATTTTTTCATATATGCCAGGCTGGCTATATATAACAATAGCATTTGTGATTTCCCGGGAGTTTGTGTCACATAAGTTGCTACGTTTTTCAAGGTTGTGATGATCGATCGTCTTTATTTTTTCCCCGTAAAACTCCACAGAAAGAAAGCAAAAAATTCCGACAAAAAAAAAAATCAAAAAAGAATAAGAAGAGTTTTCCCGTTAAATGAATACTACATGCTTTAAACGCGATAGAGTTCGTGGAGTTTTGCGGCAGAAGAAGCCAGAGACCGGAGAGAGGGAAGAGACGGGAGATGTGTGGAGAGACTCTGGCAGTTTTTATGGATTTTTCAGCGAGATGTCAAGCTGGCATTTCACCCATTTCCACAAATATGTTGTTTTGTTGTCTCGGAATACTGACAGCGGCGACTTTACAGTACACTTCTATAATAACCCCCTGTATACAGTACAGTTGGCGTTGTTGGCACAGCAAGGAACATGGGAAATCATCGGATAGTTTTCCAGTTGGGGCGAATCAACTTACTGAACAGGCTAAGGTCAGGAAGTTGGCTAAAGGCCGTGAAACCAATTTTTATCCCCCCGTCTAAAAATGTTCATCCACTTCTTGTTTTCAGTGAAATATTTTGAGGAGTTTTTCTGCGACCCAAAGACAAAACTAGTTGCTAATAAACAGATTGTGGTAAGTAGGTGTTTCGCTATGGTCTTATGTTAGGAAAATTTAAGCCATGTTTAGTTTTTTAATTGTGCCCTGTCTGTTTTCCGTTACCATGGGAACCATTGAGAGCTGAGTCTTGATTTTAGCCGGCCTCCGCAAGTGCCTGTTTTAAAAGGCTGTAAGAGTACTACTGTTCTGACAAACACAGAAGCCCCTCAAATAAGATTTCTCTCTCTCTCTGGTCTCTTTCTAGTCTTTCTATGGTTTCACATTCTTGTCTCTCTTTGGTCTCGTTCTGATCTCCCTGTGGTCTCACTCTCTGAACTCTCTTGTCTCTCTCTCTGGACTCTCTAGTCTAGGATTTCTCTCACATATTTGGAAGAAAACCCAGTGTGTTCAAGCCTCTATGGACTTATTAAGACTCCAGTTTTAGAAGCGATTTCATTTAGCGTTTAGTGCGAGTACAAATCGGTTAAACACTGGGTCCATTTGTTGCAGACATAGAAGCTAATAGCTAACATCAGTAGCATTCTCTGGATCTTAATAGAATCTGAAATTTTCTCTTTTTAGTACTATTTGTGATTTTGCTCTTGCCTTCCAACAACCAAGACGCACGGTACATTTTCAGGGATGGATAAAATTGTTTTCAGAGCCTTTAAGAATGGCACTCTAACCACTCGATAAAAGTACTGTTTGTATGCACCATATTATTTATCAATAATTATTCAGAATTTTAAATTTTTACTTGTGGTTACGTACAATATTTCACTGTTATCGAAACATTTTCATCCTTTACAGGTGAATTTCTCATTTGCCAAAAGTCAAATAATGTGGCTTGAAATAAAATATAGTTTTAAATATTTTAGAAACTGAAATAAAGAAAGTAAGGTTTAATCAATTTCACATCTACTGTAATAGTCTAATTTTGCTGAATTTGTTCTGGTAAATACAGATTTGATTTAGATAATTACAGCCGATTTCCAAGTGTTGGAAGACTAAACAACGACTATTTTGGTAAAAAATTGGTTGCATTCAATTATTCTTATGATTCATCCATTTTCTTTAGATCCCAAAAGCCTCATTACAGTAATTTTTAACACATTTCAACCTGGAGAAAGTTAGAATGTTCTAGAAGAGTTTGTTTATAGTAGTTTATTTCCTGTACTTTACATATTTGAGTAAGAAAGGGTCATACCATGTTATGTCTGATAGCCACAAAAACGATTGATTTGATTATTGAAACACCGATACAATCAATATGAAGAATAAGAATCTTGTTTCAGCCCTATTGCAATTTTGTAAAAAATGGTTAAAACGAAAAAACGTTTTATAAAAGATTTAGGAGGATTTGGATGACAAATCTAGTCGACATCCACCAAAGTTCCAACGATGGACTTTTCAAAACCGTTGCTTTAGTTTTGTGTAATATCTAGGTTTTTGGTATTGGATCGAACCACAATATTTGATCGCTGACAATACTTTGCAAGGACATCTCTCTCTTCCCTCCTCGTCTCGGCTCGCCTCCGCCACGCTCCCTCTCACACGTAGTACTCCTTATCCTTATTCTTCTTGTTCTTGGTGACCGCCTTGGCCGTGCCGGGCTGCTTCTCCTTGACCAGGGTGCCGTTGCTTTGCGTGGCCGAGTTGCTGATGTAGTTACGGCTTTGGTCCACCTGGTAGGAGCCCTCGTCACGGTTTCGGTACTTGTACATGGCGTAGAGCAAGATGAGGATACACAATGCCGCCGCCGCTACGATTCCCACCACCATTCCCGTTGTGCTGCTCGACTGCTGGACCTCCACGGCTCCTGGAAGCCCTCTCTCCGGGGACGTGGGATCTGGAGTGGGAACATGTGGGAAATTCGGAGGGTGAGTGATACCTGGGATTCTGCGATGCCCTGGATCGGACGCAGACGGGTTCGTAGCCGGAGGGAGCAGAACCTGATCTCGGGTATTCATTTTACCCGCTGGGATATTATTGGATTTGAGGCGCGGGCTAAGCTGGTCTGGCTTGGCGGTGGGAGTGGATGGGACTTTGGAATTGGGTGACCGGGAGGAGTGGCGATCTCGCGGGTTCGGGTTTTGCGCCCCAACTACCACTGCGTTCCCTTCGGCTGCGGGCGGCGGGGGGAGGACCGTCCTGTCGGTGACCATGGCGTTTTTGTAATAGTCCTCGTCGTCTGATTCGGTCATCTCCCCCGAACCGTACGCCGAGACCTCCACTGGCTCCTCGCAGTCGTCCTGGTCGGAGGGGCAAGGGGGCCGGCCGTTGGGCAGGGGCAGGGACTCTTTGGTGGTTTCGAGCAGCGTGAGGAAGGGGCGGTAAGTGGTGGGGGGCGGGGGGAGGACTGGGTAGCGAGTGGCGATGGAAGGGGGGTCTAAGGAGTCCACGGTTATTATGGGCAACACTAATTCACCTCCTAGGACAAGAAACAGAAAAAGGGAGAGAATGTTAGAACCTGGACTTGTGTAGCAGGTCACACACAGGTTGTGATTCAAGACCAGTATAAGAACAGCACTAAAACTTCAGGTTAGATACATTTCTCTAGTTAAATCTACAATAAAATAATAAGTCAATGCTAGTCTATGCTGATTCTCTGACTGCTCTAACCCCTAATCTACAAGTTAGTTATTTTAAAACACAATCATAAAGATACAAAAAGCATTTAACACAGTTCAATGTCTAGCTAGCTAGTCTACGCTAGCTACCCTAGCTCTGACATTATTGTGCTGTTGAAATAAGATAGCAAACCACGAGGTTCAGGTCACTTACATCAACAAATTGGCCGCATGATTTTTGCATGAAAAAAAAAATTACAAAAAAAGAAAGCTGTGTAAGATTGTTCTTGGATATTGTTAAAACAACCCCCCCCCCCCCCCCCCCCCTTATATAACATTCTTTGCTAGCAGTTGTGGTATTTTTGACCACCCCCCTTCCCCAATTTACATTACATTTGAATGTGAGATAAATCTCAATAGCTCAAAAGGGTTAGCTCATAAGGAACAGGCTACATCATGCTATGGCTAGCTTAATCGCCTTGGAACACAAGGGGTAAACATTTCATCCAATTTTCAATCAAGTGTCATTAAGAGGCAAAAAGTTAGTGCAAGTTAAGACAGTTAAGCAGGAGATAGAACACATGTTAGCATTTCTGAAAGTAGTCCAGATCGTGGTCAGATAAACGTCAGTAACAGTGGTACAGGTTGGGTCAGTGCGATGTGTGTTAGCTAGCTAGTTAGCATTCTAAAGGTCTACCGTCGTAATGATAATGGTGCTCCGGATAAACGCAAATTCAGAAGATGTCGTATGTATTAGTTTCAAAGAGTTACCGTCGCAGTGAGAGTCAAGTGTTCTGTGTTTGATCCCATTATTTCTAACGCTATAGAAAGTTTTAGATAATCTTTCTACAACAGAGGCGTCAAACTCATTTAAGTCTTGGGCCGGATTTAGAAAAAAAATGTAAAACTGTTTGAAGCTCTTTACATCTTTGTATCTGCATTTTATACGTTATTTATTGAAATATATTAGAAACAGAAATCTAAAAATGTTATATGTTTATCAAGAATCTGAATTTAAAGCATTTCACATCAAGAGGATCTAATAGTATTTTTTTTGCTATATTTGTTCTGGCGAATACAGATTTGCACAAAAACAAATCTTACTTCTACGGCTGTACTATTTTGGTAATATTTTGGTTGCATACAATTATTCTTATTATTTGCCCCAAAAGACTACAAAATAATAAAAGCATATGAAGCTCTTTAGATCTGAAAATAGTTGTATCTGCACTTTCTTCTTTATGAAGGTACTTTGAAAACTTTGAACTTTAATTTAATTTAATTTAGTTTGATCTTAATTTGTGGTTGATTTTTCTGAACAAAAGTAGTTCAGTGAAGTTTGGACTGAACCAAATCTGAGTCAAAGCTAAAGGTCTGGCCACAGATTTATATTTTTAAAGTAACAGATATAATTATGTGTTGAGTTCAAATGTTTTGATAAAATATGATAGTTTTCTTGAAAATTTGCTTTAAAATGAGGTATAACATGTCATGGACTTCATATTATCTTCTGCAAGGTAATAGTGGTTATTTTTAAAATGTTATACTTGATTCTTTATTATGGTGATGTTTTTGTTTTTATTTTGGGTTATTGTTCATTTATCTTGTGTGATCCTCATTCCTACTGTTCTGTAACTGGCGATGCAACACTGAAATTTCCCCAATGTGGGACAAAGAAGGGGCCACTAACGATGGTCTGGCGGGCCGCATTCAGCTTGTGGGCCGGGAGTTTGACACCTGTGTTCTAGCATCTTATTATCTGACTCAAATAAATCATTTCATAATAAAATACAGGTGTTGGTGCTTGTAATTTTACTAGGACTATTATAAACTATGCTTGACCCAATCTCTACCAAAGTGAGAGCAAAAACGTTAGCTAAAACCACGTCGTTAGCCTTGAGGTTAGCTGAGGGTGAGTTTGCGGGACCTTGGGGAGTGGTCAGTCATTTTAAATGCAGTGGTGAATTTTCAAAAAACCCTCATTGTCGACCAGACTTTGTTAAAAAGGACGAATACAAGGCCATGAAACATACAGTTCAGTCACACACAGTATAAAAAAACACATCTCTTTGGAATGAAGCAAATTGTGAAAGCTGTGGAGGGAAAAAATGAATTTCAACTGCAATAACCCGTCATTTCAATGGCTTTGTAGGAACCAGCCAGTTTTTATGGCAATCTGCGGGTTGCTTTTCTCTGGCTTTTTCTCTCTATTTGCTGAGTTTCTGTCTGTGTCGGAGGGCTGCGGTTCACCTTGGCTCAGAGCAGGGCCGAGCGGTGGGCCTTTTGGAGGAGCAAGGACAGGTTTGGTCTGGTGAAAGTAGGGTTTTGATGCGGTGAAATAACTCAATGCTTCAACCGGGAGTTTGGCGAAATTCAGAAGAGTTGCTTTGTCGTTTGCTGTTAACTCGTTCCACAGGGTTTGGCTCGGTTTACGATGCACCAAGATATAAGTATTTTTCTTTATGGTGACCATGACTGGTATTTTTTGGAGTAATGGACGCACTGCTG